TCACATTTAAATTATTCATTTGGGGTCTTTATAAGGTGGAAATACAATGCTTTGTCTGAATTCCTCCTCTTTCACCACTTTTTTTGATGCATGTCTCAAAGTAGGTGGATTTGATACTGTTCCTTTAAGGCAGATCAAGCCCCGCCCCCATCCRGCTTCCAGACTGGTCCACTCCGGTTTGACAGAGGAGGTTAGCATATTCTATTGTTCAGGAACATTTCATTTACAATTTCATTAAAATGCATCAACAATGGAAAACTTGTCCATCCAGCCTTACAGACAGGAGAATTAAGACGAGGAAATTGTAGTTAGTAAGCAAGTCCAGACCTTATTTGGCAATTCTGTCACAGATAATGTAAAATAATAGTTCAGAAAACATCATAGAATATAGAGAAAACTGAACAGGCTGAAAACTATGGCCCGAACAGAACATAAATATAACTTTGCTGCACCTGATAGGCCTAAATTAAACTTTTCTGCACTCCTACAGTCTCCAAGTACACAACAAAATATATTAAACAGCTAAAATAAAGGGGGGGGGGGTTGCATGATATGTCCAAGGATGCTCCCTCAGGTTCAGGGGTGATCTGTGCAGAAGTGTTGTTTGCACATCTTCACAACAATGCTTCGGGGGAGGGGTGCTCTGTTGGGGCSGGAGCTCGGCTGCAGACTGAGCACCAGGGAGGAGCTTTGTGTAAAATAGGCGGTGCTTTGTACCATCAAGTGTTTAGGCAGCTCCACATGGCTACCACAGGAGACYGATTCATTCATGCATGTTTGAGAAATCCTTCAGAGCAACACTCTGGTATGTTTTGATGATGTGATGACATAACGTGATATAAGGTTCAAACAAGTTGACTTTGCATAATACCTCCCCCCCCACACCCCTACCCCATCATCTGCAGTAATGACTTCAATGCTCTGCTTTGTAATGGTGAAGAATTGAAAAGTACCTGCAGCTTATTTGTACAAGCTTGTTAAAAACGTCAATATCTAAAGGTTCATTTCAAGCCCTTCTTGACACTTTGTTTCATTGAAATGTTACAAAAAGGACATATGAATTTAAACCAGACACTGCTTGTTCAAACTAGTGGGATTTCCTCTCAACTCCTGCTTTATTTTCACTGTGCTGCTGCTGGGATGATTCCTAGCAAACCTCATCACAGCCCCTTTCCCTGAAATTGGCTGTCGAAACACGCCCACTTTCTTTTTCCTTGGGATGTTTATCTTCGTGCACGTTTGGCATTGATACAGAGACCTAAYAACGAGAGGTAAAGATGGCTTCCAGTTTTGTAAACTGCATCTAAATAAAATGAAAGCTCAGGCAATTTAAACATGTGCAAACACGTTGAGTTCTGTTGAATTCAAACAGCAAATTCTGCTCCTGCCTCAAGTTACACCATGACTGTTGTGCTCTAACKTAAGCAGATTTTACTACAAAGATTATAGCTCATTATTTTTCATCCCTTCCACAATCCTCTGCAATCTTTGTATATATTTCAGAAAGGAAGWTGTTTCACAGATTCTGTTGAAAAACAAAACTGCCTGCAGTGTATTCATGAAAATGGCCTTTTAGTCGGGCTGCTTTATCAATGCAAAACTATCTTTTGCATGAATTGCACCAGATGTGTTTGAGTCATATGCTTTTAGAAATACTTGTGTCATAGTGGAGGTGTTGCGTGGAGACGTCRTGTGGTTGCTGCAGTGATCATTCCCCTCACACTTACAATCTAATCATCTAAAATTGTCCTGCACAAGCTATGCTCTGTCTTCCCAAGTCTCAACAGGAGCAACTAAGTTGATGTGACTTTGTATCACTGTACCTGATAGAAAATACTATTTTTATTTGGAAATCCCCTTAAATCGTTCAGTTCTCCTTAAAACTCTGTACAAAGCAGAACAAAACCTGTTGTTGGATTTTTACTCAACCACTGAAACAAGCAAGAAGATGATGTGAGAGGAGATGTGAACATTTAAAATTTAACTGTGGGGGAAAAATGATTTTAAGTCTGGCATTTTCATATTCAACTAATGATGTAATTGTTTTATAAAAAAGGGTGCTCAAGAACTGAGGCATTATTGATTTCATAATGGAATTTTTGCTTTAAAAAAAAAAGAAAAAAGTTTAAAACAAAGCTTTTGCAAACCAAACTTTTCTAAATCAAATAAACAGCAGTTAAAAAAAATTGTATCCAGATAAAATGTCAGAGGCACATCACGTTTGCTCATCACGATGAGACAAAGATGCTCATAAATCTCCAATTTAGTCAGATAAGAGGCGTCAATTATCTCCAATTACTCGGTCTGTGCAATTTGACAAGAGTACTAATGACAGAACTTGGCTAATTATAAAAGGACACCCAGCAGTTTGCTGCTCATTTCCACATGATAATGTTTATTCAGTTGCATTACACGAAGTTACTGTACGTAATGGTTCTGTATCTGAAACTAAACTTCCTCAAACACTTAAATATCCAAAGCGGAAAACCCTGGATAGTCCAGTGATAAACGGCTCTCCAAGGAGGAGGACAGACTCAAGTCTTACTGACTGATTAAACAGTAATAAAATCTGCCTGGGAGCTGAAACAGCTGCTTTCAGAACACTAAAAACTGATTAGTTCCACTCCCTCTCCTGTAAAAAAAAAAGTTTACACTACAATAAATCTTTTTTGCAGTGTGTACAAATATTTGAACCTGGTGAAATCATGAGGTAAACATCTTTTTGCACTTATGCATCATTTTCCCCCTTTTAAGTAGAAGGATGTTGTTGTTTATATASAGAAAAACCTTTTCCTAAAAATGCTTTAAACCAGGAGTGCCCAAACTTATTCCCTGATAGGGCCAAAATGAAAATCTACCCAAGGGCTGCGGGCCAAATGCAGTAATATAATAGAGGAAATGCTAATTCTGTTGTCATAATTCTTAAATGAAGTCTTTTTACTTTTTATGATTAAGCCAAGAGCCAGAGCAGTGACCCACATCTTGTTTGTGTTTAATTGCTCGGGCAGCAAAAGCTCATGGGAAATTTCATATGTTGATAATTTGAGTATTTGTAGTCTTATAAGGTTTTCAAATCTACATGTGGGCTTAAATCTAATGTAAATATCTTCTTTGGTTTCTTGTATTTTATACATAATCTTAATATAACTCAGCGGCAAAGTCAGCTATCTTTGCTACAGTTCCTTATTTATTCATTGAGCCATTGGATGTAATTACGGTTCATGGAAATATAGAGTTTCTACAGAGGATGACAGGCAATTAAAAACTACTGGTGGGCCAAATCAAATGGCTTGGCGGGCCAATTTTGGCCCGCGGGCCTCACTTTGGGCACCTCTGCTTTTAAACTACAACGTTATGGACAAATTAAAAGCAGGAAGAAAAGATTTGTATGAGATCACATGACAGAGCAATCAAGTTCATACCATTCCATTATATTAGGAAATTTTCAGGTCACACATTAGATTACAAAACACTAATAAAAAGTGATATGAAAGAGGGAACAGCGTTTTTGGCAATTCTAAACAAAGCCAAACACACCAGGGAGACGCTGAACCACACGTCTCACCGCATTAAAGAAGAGTCGTCTTTAAACTCCAGCTTTAAGCAGAAGCCCCTTTCTAACCTCTGAAATCTTACGTTTCTGGAGGCTTCAGAGTCCCGGYGATAAACGGGACTTGTCTTTTTTTGGAAGATTATACAGGAAATCAGAAGATGTGTGTGTGTGTGGATGGGGGTGCTCCCCCCACATCGTGTTCAGCCTCAGTTTCTCTGTAATCAGTCCATCGCTGGGTGTGTCTGCATAGTTCCCACCACTAATTTCATGCACTCAGACCGAGTAGGACTGAGCCAAACCACAGAGTGGAGGAAACCTTGCTGCTTGCTGATGACAGGGATTGGCTCATTGGAAAGGAATGACCAGAAAACACAGACATGTCTTACTGCAACAACAAGGTGTAATAAAACATACTCAGTGGAGGTCTCAAAGGCCTGCAGTTGTGTTTTATTGCCTCATTTGTGAAGACGAAACAAAACAAAAAAAGTAATGTCTCTTATTTGAAAGAGATAATTTTACAAACTCCAACTAGAGCCAATTGTTTTAAAAGTTGAAAAGCATCGATTCATTTGCACTGGCAGCACTCATGAATCCAGTTTGATTCCTGAATATGTTAATGATGGGTGGGGTGGGGGGGGGGTTGTTAAATTCTACGCCACTATCAACTAACTATATTACCTTGAGCTTTTATGAAAACCTGTATATACATATTAAAATGAAACTGACTTTGCATCATAACCTATTGAAACTTCTGTCTCTGTAAGGACATCCTACTGTTTCTGACACTCCCACTTCAGTGTGCCTTCACAACAAGGCTTCGGGTGGAGGGGCGGTCTGTGGTTCAGGAGCTCGGCTGCAGACAGGGAGGAGCTTTGCACAATAAAAACTGGCGGTGCTTTGTACCAGTAAACATTCAGGGCAGCTCCACGTGGCTACCACAGCAGATTCAAGGATTTCTCAAACATGCATGAATGAGTCAAAGCAACACTCTGGGTATGTTTATGAAGAGGGAATGACAGAACATGATATAAAGCTCAAAAAAGTGGATTTTTGCAAAATAACCCCTCTAAATTAGTCTTTAAATCGGTCACTTTTGTGGTCAAAAGGTTTTATATTGCTTCCTGTCTTAGTTAAAAACAAAATAAACATTGAGGACTCCACTCTGGGATGCAAACAAATGCCCAATAAGTTAYGCAAAAGAATAAAACAGTTAAAGCCATTTCAGACTGAATTTCTGCAAGGTCAGCTTCCTGAGATTCCTCAAAACCCTCAGCAATTTTATTTTTCCATATGAACAAGCATTTAGTAAAWCAGCTTGATGGTTCACACCAAACTGATGACTGAGATTTTTGCTTTCATATTCCTCAGTTCCCTTGTCTGCACTTCTGCCTCAGACAACTGGTACTGATCCACGTTTCAGGTATTAACAGGGAAAACGGGCAGCAGCTTCAATTCCCAAAAAAATAATTTATGAAACAATAACTGAAGAACAGATTTCTATTACAGAATTTATTATACAAACAGTAAACTCATAATGTGCTTCATTTTCACAGACTGAAATAGTCGAGTCCAACTACATTTTAACCTTCGATGAGTCTGTACCTCTGAGGAATAGTAATACAGAAGCTTGTAAAGAGAATTTGACATCTTWTCTGAGGAACCGAAACAAGTCTGGTTGTGTGGTTCAGGAGCTTCCGATTTAAAAAAAAAAGGTAAACAAGCTTGTTTTGTTGCCTACCTTGACCACAATATATCTCGTGTCAACACCTGTCTGGAGAAAGATGGGGGATTACTGAAGCATCTTAACATCAATGYGAGTGCCCTCGTACCGTTGGCAGTAGCAGCTGAAGTGTAAAGTGTTACTGAGCTCAACTTCTGTCGGGCCATTCTCCTCTACAACGGGAAAATCTTTATGATTCTGGAGGAATTTCTGCAAGTCTGTCAGCGGGAACCCGTCCCTCTGGTAGTTCTGCAGGCAAGGAGACAATAAAAGACAAAAAAATTAAATCTTTCAGACAGGACTGTATAACCTGATTTAATACGTGACAATGTGAAACAGAAGATATATCAACTTAGCACAAAAAGTATGTTAATTTGTGTTTGGTAGATTATTTCTTTGTTGTAACAATGCTTCTTGGTAATAAATTTTATTCTGTCAGAAAATCTGGTAATCTTCTCCATCAAAGAGCTTATTTTCTGTTAGTGACACTTGTTTTGAGCTTCTGGTACCTCCAGGTGCCGCCAAAATAAAAGTCATTCATTTAAGTATGTAACTTTGATTTGTAAAATGATAACTTTTACTTAAGAGAACTTTTAATTAAGAAAAAAATATAAATTAAACAGGTCCCGCTGTTTTAAAAAGGGGACCGGAGGAAGTGCTCCAATTACAGGGGGGTCACACTCTTAAGCCTTCCTGGTAAGGTCTATTCAGGGGTCCTGGAGAGGAGGGTCCTTCGGATAGTCGAACCTCGGATTCAGGAAGAGCAGTGTGGTTTTCGTCCTGGTCGTGGAACACTGGACCAGCTCTACACCCTCAGCAGGGTCCTGGAGGATGCATGGGAGTTCGCCCAACTGGTGCCCAAATGTGTTTTGTGGACTTGGAGAAGGCGTTCGACCGTGTCCCAAGGGGGGCCTTGTGGGGGGTTCTCCGGGATTATGGGGTAC